ACTCAGTTACTTTTTGGGAGAAGTAACTAGTAACTATAACTAATTACTTTTTCAAAGTAACATACCCAACACTGACTAAAACGCTGTGGTCAATTATGCACATCAAAATACAAACATTAAAGTAGATATATACTAAATTTGTGCTCTTAAGAACCTATTTTTGTGTTAAATGGGTTAAAGAGAAAACAATGTGTCTCTGCAAGTCATCTAGGAGTCTTCAGTGAAATCATTGATAAATAACTACTTTAAAAATAACTATTTTAATAAATCTATTTGACGTAGATATTAGTACATGTAAATATTAATTTTATGCAGAACAATTTTTGATAGAAGTATGTAAGTAATGACAATGGAAAAGAAGTTCGCCCCAGAAATTTCGTCCACTATACTTTTTATTTAGACAGCTTGGATGTTTAAATATATGCATCTATTTGTTAGCAAAGGCTGTAGAAAAGTATAGTTTGTCTTTAGAAAATAAGGATGTGGTGCTCGTTCCTGTTGGAACAGCGTAGATTGACCCTGATGTTCTGACGCCTGTCACCTTTCGCCAACTCATTAGATTAAATTGGTTTTTGACTCGCCACCTCTATTAAAATTTTCTGGCTAAGCCTCTGAATAGAGGCACACTAAGGTGACTATAAGATAGGAAATAAATGTAGTTTTGCTTGTAATAAGTAGGTAAGTAAAACATTTAGCCAATGGAATAAATAATTTACATTTAAAATAAGAAAAAAACCCTCAATTGTCTTGTTTTAATTGCATTATATGTAATTATTACATTTTAAGGGCAAAAATCAATCAGTTAAAATTTTTTGCAGAAAGGAGAAACTGTGAAACATAGAATCCTGCTGCCCTCTAGTGGCTCATCGATGACTCTCTGTGAAACAGTATTAGAACCGCTGAGATGGGAATGAATTATTCATAAATCTAAGAATGATAAAGCAGTATTTCAGAGATGAGCGATATGAGATTTGACTGATAATAAGCGGATTACATTCTCTATTGTGTCTAAAAAAAAAAAAAGCCTAATCTTTTTTATAAGTTGATATTGCTGATGGTTCAAAGTGATATGTCTTAATAGTTATGAGTAATAATAGACCTCCAGGCCAACTAGGATACAGTGCAGGTAGTTAATTATTATTTTTTTCTCTCTCATAAGGAAAACAGCATTAATGTTGTTTTCAGGTTTTATAAAAAGCCTTTTTATACCTTCTACAGCTCAGTTTTACTCCCCTTTTCTTGTGAATGTCAACAGTTTGAACCTATCTGTCTTTCATACAGATTAACCACGGCGGCTGCACAGCCGTGCCCTACGGCTTAATGATTAAGCATTTACTCCCCTCACAGTTCCCAACACATTTTTGCACATTGCCTTGTGTGTGTGAAACCTGTAGTGAGTCAACTGCAGGGACTGGGCCTGTTTTACAGCAGTTTTGGCCTTTTTTCTCAGGTCTCCTGTTTCTGTAATAGCACAAAGGTTTCATCTACATGGCCATAAAGCTGCAGAATACAAGCGAAGGTAAGTTTATTTATTTATTTTTTTTACTTTGAGTCCCAGCCCCCCTCAAACTGCTGCTGTTTAATAGCGGAGGCCCACTGTGTTCCCTCTCTGACTGGTCATGGTGTGGCAGAGGCAACGACATATTTGAACTGTTGTGTGATTAGTTGGTTTAAAATACATTTGAACTGTTTTTATTGGTGCTTTATAAAATAGTTAAAATAAAAGGTGTTGTGTAAAAGCTTTCCCTTCAAGTCAAATTTTCCAACATTTCATTACGCTATAGCTACAAACTTTATTCTAACCTCAGGGGTTGACGTTAAGGATTTTTACCATTTTGCCCTTTGGGCAAGTGGCTTTCACATTTAATTTGCCCAGAAACCATTTTTACTTGCCCAGTATAATGTTTAATAAATATAGTTCCTAATATTCATTTTTGTATATATATCAATGAAACGTGTCTGTTTTTTAAATGTTTTTTGTAATTCAGTAAGTTTCCAGGTTCCTGGTGTGTATCTGCATGCGTCAGATAATGAACTCAAGCCTACATTACCGTGTTAACACGCGGCTTTTTCAAATCACGCGAGAATTTGTACAAAACAACAAAGATGGCGCAGGCAACGCTTGTGGGTTGTTTTCAGCGAACGTCTGTGATTTTAAAGTAATTTTGAGTGATAAATAATTTTTTTTTTCCGATAAATTTTTCCGACAAATTAGTACTCTCCCGACAATAAAAGCTACTTGCCCCGGGAGATCGGACAATGGTTAACATCGAGCCCTGAGCCTACTGGGGACTGGTGTGACAGACCACAGCAAAGTCGACTGTAATTTTGAAGCAGCTGCAAAATTACATTTGGGGCAATTCTTAGGACATATGGGAGAGAAAAAAAAATATTAAACTTTTACAAGCATGAGTTTAAGCTGTGACGCACCTTTAGGTCATGAAGCACAGAACAAGCAGGCAAAACCTCAGTCTATTTGTACTTTTAAAAAGTTGTACTCTTATTGTCTCCTTTCTATCTCCTCTTTCTTTCATCTTTTCTTTTTTTTCTTTTTCTTCCTCTGTTTTTCTTGTTCTGCTCTATTTACATTGCAGTGTCCATATAAGCTGTAAAACTCCCTGTATAATTATAATAAAGCAATTTATATGCATGAGACAACTAACCTGACTCCGCCAGATGGATTTGCTCCACATATCCATCTG